AAGGAATACTGATGAGATCCATGGAGATAGGCGGGATAGATGGGCAAAATCAAGGTGCAGGAAGGAGATGGGCTCATGAGTATAGGTTCTGCATCTACCACTTAGCTTAAGGCACAGGGTTTGCAGAATCTGGAGTTATCCTCAAGCACCAAAGAGGTAGAAGAGAAGAAAGTAATCTGACCTTCTGTGAGAAAAGCTTGTCTGTGACCTAAAAGGATATTTCCCTGAGTGACCACAAAGTATGAGCAAAGTAATTTGAAGTAGTCATTAAACCTAGTAAAGTTCTTCTAAGACCTATTTTCCAAGCAGAGCAACTGGTGGCAGAAAGGCAGTATGTTAACATTCTACCATCCCCTGAATCCTCTCCCACCCTACCAGGGACAATGTTTTAATGCCGGTCAGGAGCAATGACATTCTCACCGAACCTAAGAATCTGTGCTGAGAATCTTTAAATGAGAAGCATTCTGAATAGTTAATTTACTAAAATCTCTCCTGCCTGCAGGCTGAAAGTGATCCTTCCCAAGCTGATGTCTCCTGGCTTCACTATTCTTTTTTTTTTTTTCTTTCTTTTCTTTATTTCCAGGGCTCCTACTCCAAAGTATCTTCATCCTTACGTCTCTCCAATTCCATTTCTGCCTTACCCCTTCCAACATGATTTTAAAGTCTGATTTTAAAAAGAGTCTGTCTTGAGCGGACAGCAATAAGAAGGTGGGAACTACCAGAGACTTTTGTTCTTTCTGTTTATCATTTGTCATTTAAACTTCCACTCATTTCAGGCTGTCTTATCTTAAGTAGCTGCTTGGATTTGTTGACATAAATTTTTCTAAATTTTCAGACTGATCTTTGAAACAGTCACAGATTGGCTGTATGACTTAGGCACACTATCAAATTTTTCAGACCCCAATTTTTTCATTTGCAAATTGAGGTAATTATACTAACCTTGCAAGGTTTTTCTAAGGTCTACTGTTCTTACAATGTTCCTGGTGCAGTGCTTGGTAAAGAATAGATATTCATCAGGTATTATACATCTTCCTTCTTCCTCACCCTATTTCATTTTCATGTCAAAAATATTTTGTGCTTAAATTTTGAGTTAGATTGTTAACGACCATGCAGTTTGCCTGTTAGCTTCTCTCCCTGCTAATCACAGTTCTTTGGAATTCACCACTGAACATAAACACAGCAGAAGCTGAGGAACACAGCACGAGGGCCAATCTGACTTTCAAGTGGACACTGAGTTAATGGCACTGAATATTAATAACACTGGTGTTCATAGTGAGAGAGAAAGTGTTTATGTATATGTTTGAGTGTTTCTCCAGAGTAATGCATTTATTGATTCAACTCAAGAGTCAGTACTTATTGAGGGCTATTAAGCACCTGATTTTATGCTGTTGTTGTTGTTGTCATCAAGTCGGTTCAGACTTATAGTGACCACACATACAACAGAACAAAACAATGCCTGGTCTTGTGCCATCCTCACCATCTTCGTTATGCTTGAGCCCATTGTTGCAGCCGCTGTGTCAATCCATCCCTTGAGGGTCTTGCACTTTTTTGCTGACCCTCTGTTTACCAAGCCTGATGTCATTCTCCAGGTATTAAGTCCCTCTGATAACATGTCCAAAGTATGAGAAAAGAAGTCTTGCCATCCTTGTTTCTAAGGACCATTCTAACCATACGTCTTCCAAGACAGATTTGTTTGCTCTTTTGGCAGTTCATGGTATAGTCAATATTCTTCAACAGCACCATAATTCAAAGGCGTCAATTCTTTTTCTTTGGTCTTCCTTATTCATTGTCCAGATTTCACATGCATATGAGGCAATTGAAAATACCATGGCTTGGGTCAGGTGCACCTTAGCCCTTAAAGTGACATCTTTGCTTTTCAATACTTTAAAAAATTCTTTTACAGCAGATTTGCTCAATGCAATACGTCGTTTGATTTCTTGACTGCTGCTTCCATGGGTGTTGATTGTGGATCCAAGGAAAATGAAATCCTTGGCAACTTCAACCTTTTTCTCCATTTATCATGATGTTGCTTATTGATCCAGTTGTGAGGATTCTTGTTTTCTTTGTTATGAGGTGTAATCCATACTGAAGGTTGCAGTCTTTGATGTTCTTCAGTAAATGCTTCAAGTCCTCTTCACTTTCAGCAAGCAAGGTTGTGTCATCTACATGTTGCATGTTGTTAATGCGTCTTCCTCCAATCCTCATGCTGTGTTCTTCTTCATATAGTCCAGTTTCTTGGATTATTTGCTCAGCATACAGATTGAATAAGTATGGTGAAAGTATATAACCCTAATGCACACCTTTCCTGACTTTAAACCACACAGTATCCCCTTGTTCTGTTCAAATGACTCTCTCTTGACCTAAGTACACCTTCCTCATGAGCAGAATTAAGTATTCTGGAATCCGCATTGTTCACAGTGTTATCCATAATTTGTCATGATCCACACAATAAGTGCCTTTGTGTAGTCAATTAAACACAGGTAAACATTTTTCTGGTATTCTCTGCTTTCAGCCAAGATCCATCTGACATCAGCAATGATATCCCTGGTTCCACGTTCTTTTCTGAATTCGGCTTGAATTTCTGGCAGTTCCCAGTTGATGTACTGCTGCAACTGCTTTTGAACGATCTTCAGTAAAATTTTACTTGAGTGTGATATTAATGATATTGTTTGTTTATTTCCCCCATTCAGTTGGATCACGTTTCTTTGGAATAGGTGTAAATATGGATCTCTTCCTGTCAGTTTGCCAAGTAGCTGTCATCCAAATTTCTTGGCATAGACAAGTGAGCACTTCCGGCGCTGCATCCGTTTGTTGAAACATCTCAATTGGTAGTCCATCAGTTCCTGGAGCCTTGTTTTCCACCAATGTCGTCAGTGCAGCTTGGACTTCTTTCTTCAGTACTGTTGGCTCTTGATCATATACTACCCCCTAAAATGATTGAATGTAAACCAATTATTTTTGATACAATGACTGTGTATTCCTTCCATCTTCTTTTGATGCTTTCTACATCGTTAAGTATTTTGCCCATAGAATCTTACAATATTGAAACTTGAGGCTTGAATTCTTTCTTCAGTTCTTTCAACTTGAAAAATGCCAAGCATGTTCTTCCCTTTTGATTTTCTAACTCCAGGCCTTTGCACATATCACTATAATACTTTACTTTATCTTCTGGAGCCACCCTTTAAAATCTTTTGTTCGGCTCTTTTATTTCATCATTTCTTCTGTTCACTTTAGCTACTCAGTGTTCAAGATCAAGTTTCAGAGTCTCTTCTGACATCCATTTTGGTCTTTTATTTCTTTTCTGTCTTTTCAATGACCTCTTGCTTTCTTCATGTATGATGTTCTTGATGTCATTCCACAACTTCTGCAGTCTGATTTTATGCTAGCTATGGCTATTTGACAGTGAATTATTACTTATATGGAAAGGCAGTATGAGTGTTTAAAGCCTGGAATCTAGAGAAATATCAGTTCAACTCCCATTTTGACCCCATACTTTCTCTCTGATCTTAGAAAGATTAGTTACTTAATCTTTATAAGCCTCTTTCCTCATCTATAGCATGATAGTATTAATAGTTATTTATTCACAGGATTTTCTTAAGGAGATAAAAATACACTAAATTAGTACTAAGTAAAATCTAACTCTTACTCATAAAAAAAAAAAAAAAGCTAAGCACCTACTGTATATCAGGGCATATTTTAGGCACTGGCTTTATAGAGGTAAACAGAGCAAAGCCCCTGTCCTCTCTGAGCTTACATTCTAGTGGTATTATTATTTAGGAATACAAAGATCACTGTTCTGGGAAGTCAAGAGGCCTAACCTAGCATCTGACCTCTATCCGTTGAGTGTCCCTCTCCTGAACCTTCATTTCCTCATCTATAAAAGACTGAGCTCTACCTATATCATTGCCCTTTTGTTCTATGGCATCTCATGGACTCTGCTTTGCAGTTGGGGATGTGGTCATGATTAAGGGAAATGCTTCAGCCTCCCCTGCCACCTGGACCCACAGTAGTTGGAGTCCTAGACTTCTGAAGAGTGAGAGCATCTGACTGGCTGGAGGATAAGCTTTGATTTCTAATTCTAGCACCAGGAATAATTTTACAGATAGCCATTCACATACCCTCAAGTTTTCTCTAGAACCCTATGAGTTGAGCAACATTTATGAGCTATCTGGACCAGGCCAGCCTTCTAAGGGAAATCTGAAGAGGAGGTGGATGAAAGGTTGGTCTGTGTCTAAGGTTAAAGGTCATAAATGGCCAGTGAAATTAAACAAACAAAAATAAAATAGCAAAAGTAAGAAAGAAAGCAAAGCAAGAGAAGGGAAAGGAAGAGATTAAATAAAGGCTGGGATGTTAGTGATAGTCCTAGAAGAAAGGTTTATTTACAAGGATAGGCAAAGTTAAGTACGACCAACAGGCTTAGCTATATTTCTCTCACCTCTTAGCCTGAAGGGACAAAAAGTGAGAGTAGTTACTGAAATCCAGGGAGACCTGTTGCTGAAGGAGAAAAGTCCCCAACAAGAACTGTGGATTTTGGTAGTAGAACACAGCTACTGCCAAACCACAGGGCCACAAGGAGAGGGCCTGAGTTCTCCTTCATCCCATGCTCCTACTTCTTGTAGGTGCTTCCTGTTGGTTGAGTTTAACAAAAAGCCAGAAGGCAAAGGAGACTTGTTGATGCAGTCCAGAAAGTTCAGAGCAGAGTTAAAAGGATGGAGAATATCTAACTCACTCAGCTTAACCCTTAGAAGTTGCATGACTATAACAGCAATTCCATGTCTCAGTTTCCTTATTGAAATATGAAACTAAAAGCATTTCTCTCAAAAAAGTATTGAGAGGAACCAGGGTGTGCAATAACCTCTGGAGGAACTGTACAGTTCTGTCTGCTTAATTTAATTTTATTTTATTTTATTTTTAATTTCTGCCCATTTGCAATCACTGTCATTTCCTCTGTTTATTTCAGGATTTTGGAGAGAATCCAACTCCCCTTCCCTCCAGACACAATGATACTGGGATCCCTGGGAAACAGCAGCAGCATTCCCTCTACCTTCTTGCTGAGTGGTATTCCTGGGCTGGAGCACATGCACATCTGGATCTCCATCCGCCTGTGCTTCATGTACCTGCTTTCCATCCTGGGAAACTGCATGATTATCTTTATTATTAAAACAGAGCCCTCACTCCAGGAGCCTATGTACCTCTTGCTATCTATGCTGGCTCTGACTGACCTGGGTCTGTCGCTCTGTACCCTGCCAACAGTGCTGGGCATCTTTTGGATGGGAGAATGAGAGATTGGTCACAATGCTTGTTTTGCCCAGCTCTTTTTCATTCACTGCTTATCCTTCCTGGAGTCCTCTGTGCTACTGTCAATGGCCTTCGACCGCTTTGTGGCCATTTGTCACCCCTTGCACTTGCGTCCACCCTTACTAACACAGCCATTGTCAGCACTGGCCTGGCTTCTCTGGGCCGAAGTGTAGCACTCATCTTCCCATTGCCTTTTATGCTAAAGAGATTCCCCTACTGTGACTCTTCAGTCCTCTCACATTCCTGTTGTCTCCACCAGGAAGTGATGAAATTGGCCTGTGCAGACATCATGACCAGCAGCATCTATGGCATGTTTGTCATTGTTTCCACAGTGGGTGTAGACTCACTGCTCATTCTCTTTTCCTATGCCCTAATCCTGCGCACTGTGCTGTCCATTGCTTCCAGGGCTGAGAGACTCAAAGCTCTGAACACCTGTGTCTTCCACGTCTGTGCTGTGTTGCTCTTTTATACTCCAATGATTGGCTTATCTGTCATCCACCGCTTTGGGAAGCAGACACCACATCTGGTCCAGGTGGTCATGGGCTTTTTGTATCTTCTAGTTCCTCCCCTGATGAACCCTATTGTTTACAGTGTGAAGACCAAACAGATCCGAGATTGGGTAACCTGAGCCTTTTGTTACTAGCTGGATCTGGTCTTGGAGGCAGTACTTCCTTAAATATGCCCTTGCTCCTCTCTCCTTTATAATATCTAGGCTGCATGAGGAGCCCTGGTAGAGTAGTGGTTAAGAGCTTGTCTGCTAACCAAAAGGCCAGCAGTTCGAATCCAGCAGCTGCTCCTTGGAAACCCTATAGGGCAGTTCTATCCTGTCCTATACGGTTGCTATGAGTAGGACTCAATAGTAATGGTTTATTGTTGTTGTTGTTGTTGTTGTTGTTTTTTAACCTTCATGAAGTGGTGAAGACCTTTATTTATTTACTCAACAATATATACTGGGATGAACAAGACACAGTCACAGTCCTCAAGGTACTCTCAATCTGGTGGGGGGAAAATACAACACAGTATGATATAGCAGATTGTATTTTCCAAAAATGGTGACAAATATTTCTAATCCACATGCTCTTCCAGAGTCTTGTCACTCCCCTACTAAAGAATCTACTTCTTTTCTACTCGTAACTGGATAGGACTTTGTAACCGCCTTAATGAATTAAATGGTGTAGAAGTGACTTTCTGAGATGGATAATTAGCAAATGATCGTGTGATATTAAAGAGGGTTAGGAGAGAGGAGTGCTACATAGTCAACATCCTAAGGTCACTGTCAGAGAGGAAAGATTCCTTGTCTAGCAAGTGGAAACATAACTGACCAGCAGTAATCTTGAGAAGTAGTTAGAAATGCCCTGAGGGATCTGGGATCAAGAACTAAGAATACGATTGCTAAACAAGACTACTCACTTTACCTCTCTGAAAAGTCTAGAGGTGAAGGTATAAACTCAAATCCCTACAGAGGCTGTGCAGTAAAGTAAATGAGTGAAGTAAAATTTGTGAAAGATGAATAACAAGAGGGGCAGGAGGGATGTCGCAAACTCTATTTTAAGGGACATGATACTCAGCTCCAGAATGTTAGGCTCTTACCAAATGTGCTGATTCTTAAAGAGAAAATAAACACCCAGAATCTTATTTGAAATCTCATAATTTTTAAATGTTGGAGAGTAATTCAATTTTTTAATAATTCACAGTTATGTTAATCCAATAAAACACTATTCAGCAAGATTTGTTCTGTAGACCACCGGTTTTCGTTCTTGGCCTATTCAGTATCATCCCAAAGAGGTAAGTTTTTTTTGTTTTTTTGTTTTTCCTTATTTCTCGTTCTTTTATCTCCTTAACAACAATGTAGTAGAGGGCTTTAGAACAAAGGCACTGGCCTCAGATAGACCCGAGTCCAGTCTTGGTTTCATATCTGCAATTTTAGCAATTACACAATTTCTCCAACCTGTAAATATCAGATGAGAGTAATATCTACTTCAGATAATTATTATAGGGATTACATGAGATACTGTATGTAATATATTTGGTAAAGTATGGTACAAATAATAAGGAACCCTGGTGGCAAAATGGTTAAGTATTTGACTGCTAACTGAAAGGTCGGTGGTTCAAACCCACCAGCCACTTCAAATGAGAAAGATGTGGCAGTCAGCTTCCATAAAGATTCACAGCCTTGGAAACCCCACGAGGCAGTTCTACTCTGTCTTACAGGGTCACTATAAGTTGAAATTGACTCGACGACAGTGGTTTTGGGGCAAATGACACATTGTTAATTAAATGTTGGCAATATGTTTGCCCTTCAGATGAATGACCTCGTCTCTCCAGAACACAGTTTATCCACCTAAGCTGAACCTACCAGTCTTACCAGAGTCCCTTAATGTGCTTGGCTGCTAATTGAAAGGTCGATGGTTCAAGTCTACCCAGAGGTGCCTCAGAAGAAAGATCTGGTGATCTACTTCTGAAAAGTTAGCCATTGAAAACCCTATGGAGCACGGTTCTTCTCTGACACGTATGGGGTTGCCATGAGTTGGAAATGACAGAACAGCAACTTATTTTTTTTTTTAACCCATCTTACCACCAAACAGAACATTTTATCAGGAGGAACTAGTCCCTGGAAAAGGACATCATGCTTGGTAAAGTAGAGAGTCAGGGAAAAAGAAGAAGACCCTTGATGAGATGGATAGACACGATGGCTGCAATAATGGGCTCAAACACAGCAACCGTTATGAGTATGGTGCAGGACTGGGCAGTATTTCCTTCTGTTGTACATAGGGTCACTATGAGTCGGAACCAACTCGATGGCATCTAACCACAACAAGAACTAGACACTGATCCAACATTAAAAAGGGTGAAATCTCAACACCTCCCTTGCAGTATTGTTCATAGCTTCAGTTCTTCCAGCTACCATACCGAGCCTCGACCCCATGATGCCCTCACCTGGGAAAGTCTTAGAAAAGAGGTATAGGTCTGGCATTTTCTCTGACCAGGGAAAGTTATCCTTCCTTCAAATTTCTCCCTTCATTTTACCCATTGGATTTCTGTTCCAGAATTTTCTTGGGCTTATAATATCTACTTTAGTTGGTTGTTTTAAGGGCTAAAATAAATGAATATATGGAAAGTTTGTAATCTCATTTTTTAACCATTTCAGTCAGTTATCATTAGTTGTGTGACCTTGGGGAAGTTACTGACTTTTTCTGGGCTCTGGTCCCTTTTTCTGCCAAATCAGGGACTTGCAATCCATAAATTTTGTTTCTCCTTCTCTCTTGTAATAGAATTTTGTTCTCTGGCTCTTGTATTTCTGTTCTAGCCGGCGTTATCTCATGTCTATAGTAAAATAAGTTCATATTTCTTTAGACCCCTGGCCTGAGGTGAGACAGAGCGAGATGCAACAGCCAAAATATAAGGAATCTCCAGTCCTATGAGCTTTATTCTTTACCCCAAATGTCGTAGGAAGAAAAGAAAGTGTTTTAAGTGAGTGGGTAATATGACTTGTTTTGCTTTTGCTAAAATTCACTGGGCTTCAAAGTGAAGAAACTGATTGGAGAATAAGACTGAAACGGGGGGAAAATTGAGAAGTTATAAGAAAACTCTAGAGTCCCTGGGTGGTGCAAACGGTTAATGTGCTCAGCTGCTAACTGAAAGATTGGAGGTTTGAGTTCACCCAAGATGCCTAAGAAGAAAGGCCTGGTTATTTACTTCTGAAAAACCAGACATTAAAAACCCTTTGGAGTATTCTACTCTGACACACATAAGATTTCTGTGAGTCAACTCAAAGGCAACTGGTTTTGATTCTAAGAAAATTCTAGTATGGGAGGATCATAATTTGGATAAAGATTATGACAGGAGAGGTGGAGAAAATAGGAAAATTCTGATAGATGTTTGGGAGGTAAACTTCTATAGGACTTTGTGTCAGATTGGATATGGAAACACAGTTAGATAGTAGCTATTGGTGCAAGAATAGATTTTGGTGGGGAGATGTGGGGATATATGCCATTTAAACATGGCTGCACTATTGACAACTGCAGCCCCCACAGGCCTCTATGCTGCACAGCATGTTAAGACTTGTCCCCAACATGTTGAGACTTGTCACGACTTGTTTTCCCAAACCTGTTGTCCCTTTACTGATTGGCTTGTTTACCTGAATTCCTTCTCCCTTGCCCACACCCAAAGCCCATTGTTCTGTTATTTGCTTCACTGCTTGCCGTATTGACTATAAATAAACTTTTGGGACTGAAGCTGGGGTCGACTCCTCAGAGTGACCCTCCTGGCCCCACTTCTCTGTAAGAGTTGTGTTTGGTTACTGTCTCCGCCGTCCCGACAACCGTCGCTGCTGCGCCAGGGAGAAATAATAAGTGAGACAGGTACTCTGGCCTTTGATGAAACAGACAACAAAGTTCTGAAAGACACTACAGTCTTTATTTTAGGCTTGGTATGGCTCAAACAGTAGGAAAGGTGCTCTTAAGGGAGGAATGATTTGTTTTAATCTGAGGTGATTGCCATAATGCAAACGTAGGTCTGTGTTCAGAGGGATGCTCCAGATTTTGAGCTTAAGAAGTAAGCAGTTCATTTATACAATGATTGTCATTAATGTATTCACAAACGGACCACAACTATCTATGGAGCACTTCTATATTTAAGGACATACAGAAGATGAACAGAAGATTTCAAAGGGTAGCTTGAGAAGACAAAGTAAAGTATTATAATGAAATGTGCAAAGACCTGGAGTTAGAAAACCAAAATGGAAGAACATACCCAGCATTTCTCAAGTTGAAAGAACAAAAGAAAAATTCAACCCTAGAGTTGCAATATTGAAGGATTCTACAGAGAAAATATTGAACAATGCAGGAAGCATCAAAAGAAGATGAAAGGAATACACAGAGTCACTGTACCAAAAAAAAAAAAATTAGTTGACATTCAACCATTTCAGGACAGAACATAATCAAGGACCAATGGTAGTGAAGGAAGAAGCCCAACGTACACTGAAGTGAATGGCAAAAAGCAAGGTTCCAGGAATAGACAGAATACGAATTGAGATGTTTCAATACACAGATGCATCACTGGAGGTGCTCGCTCTTCTACGTCACGAAATTTGGAAGACAGCTTCCTGGCCAACTGACTGGAAGAGATCCATATTTTTGCCCATTTCAAAGAAACTTGATCCAACAGAATGTGGAAATTATCAAATAATATCATTAATATCATACACAAAACTTTGCTGAAGATCATTCAAAAGCAGTTACATCAGTACATTGACAGGGAACTGCAAGAAGTTAAAGCTGGATTCAGAAGAGGACGTGGAACAAGTGATATCATTGCTAATGTCAAATGGATCTTGGCTGAAAACAGAGAATACCAGAAAGATTTTTAACAGTGTTTTATTGACTATGCAAAGGCATTCCACTGTGTGGATCATAACAAGTTATGGATAACATTGTTAAGAATGGGAATTCCAGAACACGTCATTGTGCTCATGAGGAACCTGTACATAGACCAAGAGTAGTCATTTGAACATGACAAGGGGATACTGCGTGGTTTAAAGTCACGAAAGGTATGCTTCAGGGTTGTATCCTTTTCACCATACTTATTCAATCAGTATCTGAGCAAATAATCTGAAAAGCTGGACTAAGAAGAAGGTGGCATCAG